CGTGCTCGCAACAACCGAAGCAGTACTCTATCACCAGTCCATGGGTTCCTATTCCCGATATCAACCGGCAAAGCAAGGAACCCGTAGACTAGTGGTAGAGTATTGAACTCAATGACCAAAGCTCCCGGGTTCAAATCTCGGGGGTGCCGGCCCTCGAGATTGGGTGTGACCGGCTGATGACAGCTAGTTAGCCAGAAATGGCCAGTCCGGCCTCCCTTTGCTTTGTCGGTTATACTTCATAACTGTAATTATCACTCCATGTACCTGACCCACGACCAATGCTCACAACCTATCCTAATTCCCTTCCCCCCTCCAGCGCAAGGATCTCTACACGCCGATCTCGCCATGCGGGCGGCGTGAAAACGATGAGTTGTAATCAAAGGAGCCATATTAACCCTGTCCAACTCTAGGATTTCAGTACCCCTGCAATCGTACTGGCCTTATGATGAACTGCAGAAAACATATGCTTGTCGAATAAACTTTCCATATTTACAATTCGTTGTCGTCCACGTCGGCGGATGTCAGACACATACATCGAACAGTTACCTGAATGCGGGATTAGTAAAAGATCATCCCGTTCTTAGAGACAGGATCTTAATCCCTACTGTATTTACAGCTATTTTGTACTTATAACCTTGAAATTTGACAAAATTTTAATTTGCGTTGTCAACAATGAGTCTATAAGAAGAGTATTCAACTGGTCGGGGCTCCACATTAGAACTCAGGCTTATATTCATATTGGATGAGAGTACCATACTTGCCAAGGACATCTGCAGAAGTCGCGATAGCTTAAATAACAAGGTACTGCTACACAAAAGACATCAGATACCGTGAACGCCTTCTTTTAACAAAGGCGGCACCGGTGGTTTACGAAAAAAATCGCGTGATGTCTGACAGTACAGAGTGCACCGATCTTACATGGTAGCGGGTACATATGGTTTTTGAGAGTTGGCGAGGTCTCTGGTACTTTTATGGAACTGTCTTTTTCAGGCGAAATATATGGCATTGTATAACTACATGCTCCGTATGCTAATCGATGAAGCATGGTTCACGGATTAAAATACTTACATATTAAGTGGTAAATACGTAATTCTTACAACCGAGCTACGGAATTTTGTGCTCACCCAGGCTGTTTGCCGACCGCGTACTAAAATGACGTCAAATTCTTAGCAAAGAGAACCGACTGGATAGATAAAGTACAGGTGATGTTGGTCAGACTTGAGTGCGTTATAGACGTGTTGTGAATGTGCGCAGAAAAGCATATATGGTATAAATATATGCGCCCAAGTACGATGGTGAAAAGACGGATGCTGCTTACAACATCATCCTCAGACACCACCTCATCTTTCAATTCCATCACAATGCCTGAGGTTAATAGTTTTGCCTATCTTCATGTCTGTATATACAACGAATCAAGAGTAAATTTGGCATGATTGGCTACATTGGTGAGACTGCGGAACACGTGAGGGCAGTAAGAATGATAGACCCACTATGTTTGGTGGCTGAACATTATGTAGTCTCCTGACACACGTTCGCCTTCCAGAATGCCGACATGTTCGATCGAGGAAATGACCACGCACCCAGGGAAGTAATTGAAGCCTGACACACGAGAAAAACTCCATCAACCTCTGTGTGGTGCTTCCCACAGCCTATTAGGCCCTCCGAACGCAGTTTGCGAGTCCGAGCACTTCAAGTCCCTAGTGAACACACACCTTGCCGCACTACAACTCGGACCCGACTAAAGAATAGTTGTCAACAAGTGCGTTACCACATGGACGACAGCTAAGGTCGATGACAGCTGCACAAGTGGGTAAAATAGCCCCCCACCCCCGACTAAGACCCTTTGACTGAGATTAATACGCTGCCTTTTTTCTCCGCTTCTAATGGCACGATGACTGAGCATCCCTTGCAGCACCTACCCACTTCCTCGGCCTTTCTTGTAGTGAACCTCGTTCTTTTCTGATCTCGAAACCGCCATTTTAAAATATGCGAGTCGGCAACCAGTTCGATAAGGGTTGCAGCCTATTAGATGCCATCCAGGAGTATCAGGGAAAGTAAGCTGAAATTACATGCCCCAGTTAAGGCAGGGGACGTCAGTTATCCGGACGGGGTTGTAAACACTGAAGGTGCAGGTTTCGACCAAAAACCCACACATTTAGTCAAGCAATCAACTAATTTCAAAAAAATAAGTAACATTTTGTTTAAGATGCAGTATTAAACTGTGTATGGGATAATTAATCTTATAAACAACCGGATAAACCTCAATGTGAAACAATTAAATGCCGCCATGTTTCGCTTTATATGAGCGTTGGAAGGGAAATTTGTCAAGTCCAAATTTGTAGCACCATTGAGCATCCATCTCCGTAGTAAAACGGTATTTGTAGAAGTCAAAAATTTAATTCGGAAGTGTCAGGCTTGCCAGAGGAATTTTGATCCGCCTGCAAAAATTAAAAAAAATTCAACACATAAGCTAGAGAGCAAGCACTCGTAAAAAAGTAAATATAAATATCTAAAACGATTAATAATGCTTAATTTGAGTGCTTTCAACGGCTATATGTTAAACACTGTGTACATTAGCAGGAAATTGGAAAAGTTGGCTGTGAGTTACATTCCATTTTTATTATTGTTAGGGTAAATGTAAGGTTTGAAGCTAAGTTTAGTGTTAAGGTTATAATTTAGACTTAATTTAGAATCATGGGTAAGGATTCGGCAATAGGACCCTTTTCTCCTTCTGAAACTGACCGCAAAACCACGTGCCTTCGTAAGGGGACATTTCGATTACCATATAATGTGAGGGATCATACTCCTGATATTCTGAATTTGGGGTAATAAATAAAATATGTTGATATTGACGTTTCAGATTCTCGTTTGTTTCCATCGTCAGTATAATGTGGTGGTTGTTCCTGCTTGCCGGGACTGTTTCAGCCTTGCTGCATGCCTGCTAAACGCACGAACTATGACCTGCTTGTTCGCTGCTGACTGTCCGTAAGATTGACCGCTGGGGGCTCGTGTGAACTTTGTCCCCTTTGTGGATGTGGTAATTGTTGGCAAGTCAGTGCGCTAACTGGTCTGTCCCTCGTCCACCGAGGGAATAATCACTTATTGCTCTCTGCGTGAGTTCATGCTAACCTCGTGGACGCGGCAGTGAGGTAGCGGTCTAGGTTGGTCACGTGGTTCCTGCTCGGCCCCTCTCCCATTTTCTTCTAATCTCCGTTGTCCTCCACGCCTGGGTCTGCTTTGCCGTCCTGTTGGCCT